ACCATACGCTGTGTATACTGACACGGCTCAGTACCCGGTTAGTATACAGTGTGCTGGCTGTGTGCACCATACGCTGTGTATACGGACACGGCTCAGTACCCGGTTAGTATACAGTGTGCTGGCTGTGTGCACCATACGCTGTGTATACTGACACGGCTCAGTACCCGGTTAGTATACAGTGTGGTGGCTGTGTGTACCATACGCTGTGTATACTGACACGGCACAGTACCCGGTTAGTATACAGTGTGCTGGCTGTGTGTACCATACGCTGTGTATACTGACACGGCTCAGTACCCGGTTAGTATACAGTGTGCTGGCTGTGTGTACCATACGCTGTGTATACTGACATGGCTCAGTACCCGGTTAGTACCTGGCTGTCGGTCGTGCAGTCGGTGTTGGTCTCTGTGTCAGTCGGTCGGTCGGTCGGGCTCCCGGGAAGGCTGTCACATTAGCCCGGGCCCGCACTGTGCTCGGTGAGCTCCCGGACCACGCTGCGCCCTCCCCCGACACTCATTAGACCCCCAGCCAGGGCCGGAGCACACAGCCCTCACACAGCACAGCGCCGAGCTCCGGAATTAACCTGCGAAGCTGGAGCACACGGCTGGAGAGAGTACCGCGGGGCGAGATCAAAAATGGCGGCTGTTGTTGTTGATAATCCGGACAGACGCTGATAACCTGTTATTATTCTCCCGTCTGTTAAGATGGCGGCGACGGAGCGCGCTCCACACAGCCCGGGCGCGCGCTTGTTACGAGATGGCCGCGGGCTCGAGCCAGAGACTGACAGCGCGGTGCGCGCGCACGTCACGGGGACACTCCACGTTCTCCTTCCTTAACCCCTTACAGTGAGCCTGTCATAGGAACACTAGAGGGTTAGGAGTACTAATGTGTATTCATAGCTCTGTGCTGTCCTAGTCATCATCAGGTGACTGGCCCTCCCAAGGGGAGAAGAAGTATTTTACTTGCCCTATTTTTGCCAATGGCTGCTGCTCTGTTGGCCGCTGGCTCATTGGCTGAGATCATGGAAGATGATGATCTCAGCCAATCGAATGATCTCCCATAGGAAAGCATTGGGAAGCTAGTGTGCATGTGCGCAAAATGCTGCATCAGATGGTCTTTATGAGAACTGATTGAAATAGTTTGCAATTTAGAAGGAGGTGTCACTAGAGGCATTTAACCCTGAGGCAGGGTAAACTTTCTGTGGCTTCATTGCCAGTATGCCAACATCTAAATGCAATGGCATCAGTCATTCTGTTCCTATTCTCCCTAGCCAGCACTAGTAGCATCTGCCATCGGCCACCAAGGTACCATGGCAACCACAGTACATGCGCTGTAGTTACGATGCATGGAGGGCACAAGGACCGCCTGTGGGAGGCTTTTTCTGCTTTCCTGTTTCAGTCAATTTTTCATCATATGTTGAGTCTTTTTTGAAGTATTGATTGACAGGTGGGAGACAGACCTATTTTAAACAAGTTTTTCTCCCAATCTAATTATTTGCTAGAAAATCTGCAAGCACAATATCTAGACAGAAGTTGTACCTCACATGACCGGTACTCTTTAAGGACATAACCTCTAGAGACCACATGTGGTTTAGTGGTTATGACGCTAGGAGTACCTTGGCCTTATTTCTCGGTAATGGTGATTTAGATCAAAGCAAACTTTGATTAATTGTCTATCTACTCCTTCCAAATTTATTAATTAATGCGTGCACGCTCTTCCTAGAAGTAATTCACACCGGAGACAAAGTTTTTGATTAGTGAAAAACCTGAGGAATGCTTTATTCCCCGGAGTGGGAGCCCCTTTTAAAGCAGAAATACGTCATGTACAGAGTCACAGTTAACATACAGTATTCATTCAACAATTGGTTAACAGTCTGAGGGGTCTTGTCTAAACCCACCCTACAGGATGTAATGTCATCATTACAGAGTTCTCCCACCCATATTCCAGCTCCATCTTGGTTACACGATGGGAGGGGGGAGTGAGTAGTTACTGAACAGAGAGGGTCTGCAGGGGAAACAGTTACTTTAACAGCGATTCTCCATTTTGTTACACGTGGCACATAGCTGTTAACTTGCACAAAGGAAGTGGGGAAGGAGTTTAGTAAAGGAAGCTGGGGAGGGTAGCCAGATGGGAGGAATTTACAGAGGAAATAGTTACTCTTACAAGGCCCCCTTACAAGGATATTCTTTTAGGAAATGTGTGACAAATAAGACATAAATACAAGTGTATAATAGTAAAAAAGTCATTATTATTCCAAGTATTTTGTCCATAACAATGGTTTTGCCTTCTAACCTGGGGTCAATGCCAGGCGCTGGTGATGAGCATCCGACTTCTGCAGAGAGGCAGAAGCAAGATGCCGAACCCGTTCTGACGACCATTGATTGACTGAGAGCATCAGCTGACTTGACTCAACTAATGAATGACAATCTGTGCATGGAAATATGCACAGAATTAACATTAGTGTGATGGCTATTGACACCCCAATGATGCTACCAGAGGTTGTGCTACATCTACAGCAGCAAAGGAGTTAAACGCCATATTTTATAGTGAAACACTGCCCATACTGGCTCCTGGCACCATGACCACTTAAGATCACTGAAGTGATTATGGTGTTCGGAGTAGCCCTTTAAGAACACAAGCACTTTGGGCATTTTTTTCCATGTGTGTGTTCAATTGTAATTTCTATTGGTCTTATTTATAGCACCAACACTGTATGTATGATATACTTTTTTTTTTCTTTAAAGGACAAAAAGGGTTTTAAATTTGATGTGACATATGCATATATAAATTCTCTTATTTTTATTATACAAAATACAAAAAAAAAATAATAATAATTCCCTAGATTTAAAAGAATAAACAGACATATTAGTACACGCCTTCCCACTGTCATGGCAACCATCTTGGTCCTCATCTGTTAAAGTGACCCAGCCCCTCTTTTTCTATTTTTTTAATTTTAGTCCTACAGTTTAATTTTCATAACCCTTTTTATACTTTTATTTTATACTATATCCTAATTATGTTTTAATTGCATTTTGGTCACATGATCTGTGACAATCTGTGGTTTTTATTTTTTTTTATTTTGCATGCGATTTAAACAGGACCTGGTCCAGGGATTTTGATCCTAAAGAAAAGAAGCAGCTCTGTCCTACTCACAACAAACCCTAAAGTGGGATGTTCACTCAGAACAGCCGCAGCAAACTTTGGATGAAAGCCCAGGGCAAAAGTGAGCCAGTCACACCCCTAAAAATGAATGAAAGCAGTTGGCTTATCTCCAATCAATCTGTATTCACATGTACAGATGGGTAGCCAAGCTTGGGCAGATTGAAATTTAGAAATATAACCACAGAAACATTAACATACAATTTAAAAAACAAACAAACCGTGACATATGCAGTGACATAATATAATTTCTCAACTAAATCTGGTGAGCGCGGTGACCTCTGGGGATTGAGGTTGTTGTTAGTAACTGAGAAGACCCTCTCACTCAGAACATTTGTGAATGGACATGCCGTGATCCTTTGCTCAACCAACCTAAGGCCTAGCAATCACCTTGTTCCCAGTAAGTAAGAGGCTCTATAGTAGGATGTCAAGTGGGTTCTGAAAAATATCAGAGGTGCTACTCTGTGATAATAGGGTTTCACTGGTCCCACCAGAGTGGTAATGACCTTGGCCCAAATGGCTGCTGCTCCACTTTGTCTTCCAACACTAGCGAAGGCAGAGGATCTTTGTGCAGAGGTGATGCCACTGCTATATGGTGTTTCACCACTAATTGTTTCTCTCATTACCAACTCCCTTTGTTCCTCTATTACCATATCCCTCTTTTACTGCATCTCATGCACTTTATTAACTTTATTAACTAGTCTGTCTTTCCATATGGGCTGGAATATACTTTCAGTGCACTCATTTTTGTGGGGGGGGAAAATAAAAAACAAAACTTTTTAAAAATAATTTTGTACTTTTTTTTTTTATGCCTCTGCAAAACAGCTAAAAACTGCAGTGTTTATAGGGCTAAGCCCGGCAGTGAACTCACCACTTGGGCACATCAGTCATGGGCAGGGAGGGCCCGTCCATTGGTCCCAGTGGGACCATGGTTCCAGGCTGCACTTGACAGGGGTTGCAGTTTGCTTAAACCAACCAATCAGAGTGCTTTATAAGCCTTTCCCCCTGCCATGCAGAGCTCAGTCTGCACAGTACCGTAGCTGGGTGAAGATAATTTCAACGGGAATAATGGATTTTTATTTGGCCTTTTTTGGGGCTGAAAAAAAGAACGTTTAAGAAAAAAGACATCTAATGGTAAGTATGTTTTTTTTTTAAATTTGCAGGTATTTTGTTTTTTGTTCTCCCCTCACTATTTTTAGGGTGAGGGGGGTAGGTAGTGTGACAAACTCCCCCTTTTAAGGGAGTTTTCCATGAGTTTCTGGAGGGGCCTGCTTGCCCACCTCTTGCCCTGTGGATATAGCCCATTGGATGTATTGCCCTTTAAAAGCGTTATTGGGCATAATGGATTTTAGTACACTGCTTCTGGCCCTTTAACTCCTATGTGAAAGGATCTGTACTTTTAAACTCGCACTTTGGATACAGCCGAAGTAGTCGAAGTGGCCGCCATTCGACAAACAAACACGTGGCGGTGGCCATTTTAATTTAGCTGAACGCGGTCAGCGGTGTATTGCCTTCGAGCTCATGGAACTAAAATTGGATACTTGACGGCACGAACACCGCTGAACTTTTGCCTCCTTTGGAACTTTGATGCTTCGGCGGGAGTCAAACGGTGTTCAACAATACGAACGGCACATTAACACTGCATATTTTCACGAACTGCTCCGTTTGTGTATTCGAACGGTATTTGAACTGTGGTGAATGGACCGGCCGCACAGCCAAAATCTATGGAACTGTTTTGGGCAGGAAAGCCATGCTTGCGGTCAGTCAAATGGGACTTCCCGCTATCTCCCGAACCACTGAACCGATTGGCATGATTTTTGAGTATGTTTGTTCCCTAATTATGCTGGTTCAGAAAATGTAAGTTATGCGAATGTGATGTATAATTTTGTTATAGAAATTGTGTAAAAAGTGTATTTTTCGCTTGGAGATAATTGAGCTGATACAGTAATTAGCCCAATTATCTCCCAAACAGAGGGGAGGAATTTACTGTAATGAATGGGAGTGTTTAACCGTGTGTCTGTAAATGATTGGTTGTTGAGTTTGTGTTTTCAGTACCCAACAAGGTCCACGTGGGTGGTAACCTTGTGGGGAAATGTGTATATAAGAAGCAATAAAGCCTTAGTGCATTCAGTTCCTGCTTAACCCTAAATCTAGAGTCCTGTCTCTTAGTGGGGGAATTGCTATATCACTACAAGGGATTGCTATGCTCTGCATACTCCCTTGACTAATCACTACTAAGCTCTTTTAAGAGCTTGTTCCTGCTTTACTCTCTTGGAGGAGAGGTTCACCCACTGGAACCTGGAGCCTTGTCGTAGGCCCAGGGTGGGTAGGAGATGGCGAGACCCCAACCAAGCTACGGCAGTTTGTGGGGTCTGCGGTGGTTATGGTGCCTGGCAGAGTGCTTGGAGCCCTCAGGAAGCACTAGGAGCATCTATCAACGGAGATACCCAGTCGGGGTGCCAGGTGATCCGTTACAGGTAGTGTTTAATTTTATTGGGGTGGGGGGTGACTAGGGGCTTTAGGACCCCAAGTCACCTGTGGGGGTGATTTTTTACATTTAGCCCCCACCTGTCGCCAATGGGTGGGGGCTGGGGAGGAGACAATAGTCCCCCCTTTTGTCACTGAGGGCTCGTGGGTGGGGGCTACAGACAATAGGTCCCCCCCCTTTTGTTACTTAGGGCCCCCACCCACCACTCATGGGTGGGGGCCAGGGGTTGGAGACAATAGGTTCCCCCCTTCTTGTTACTCCTGTTCCCACCCGCCACTCATGGGCATTTGGGGGTGACTAGGGGCACAGTAAAATTTATTGGAGTCAGAAGGGGGGGGGGGTTAGAAAAAATGACAGTGCCGCTTTAAGTGCAAGCCAAAAAATAAATGAAGCACAAAGTGTTACTCTATCCTTATGTTACATTTAAAGTGTATTTAAACATTATAATTTAAATAATTAAATAATTGTGTTACAAAGAAGATCGTTTAAATTATAAAAAAAAAAAAAAGGACTACTGTATTTAAACAGCAAGATTTTCAAGATTTCCCAGACTCCTTTCCTCTTTTCCCTAACTATTATCAATTAGATGGGGCTAAGAAACCAGCTGGGCATAGATATATATAAATCTGCAAAGCTTTCATGTAGGGTTAGAGCCTTTGTTTATTAACCACAGGAGTATAGTCGATCTTATGGCTATAGCTATAAATTGCTCCAGAAAAACAGTCAGAGTTTTAAGCACGGGTAAAATAAGGATCTCGCTTCAGTAATATAATAAGTCAGGAGTGAAATAAGGATCTCACTTCAGTAATATAATAAGTCAGGAGTGAAATTAGGATCTCACTTCCCTAACCTTCTTTTGGATCAACGGCAAAGAAAGATGTAAAAAAAGTCTAAATTGGTGGATGCATGTCTCTTTTCATCTGTGTACCTATGTAATAAGCAATAAAATTATATTATACAATAATGTTCATATGAAATAAAATTATACATTACACATACATGGGGATCCAAATCAACGATTCCCACCCTGGCCAGACCAATTCTAACAGGGCTAAGGTCTAGTTCGGTAGCAGTTTAGTTTAAAAGGGTAGTATTTGATAAGAGATGTACATCGAGTACAACTGGCAATTAAAGTCTTTCCACCCGGGCAACATTCTAGGAAAAAAATGTACACTGCAGCCCAGCTTTTTAGTTATCGTCGTCATCATCCCCTTGCTTGTTACTGACTAAAAAGAACAACAACGAAAATAGTGGCAAACACTAATCTTCTTCCTTAGAAAGACTTGTCAGACTAGACGTTAAGCAGGGCCACACTTTTTATGTGAAGAGCAACAGTGCACATATGCCTTATTAAATGTAGGCAATAAATCAACATAATAGTAAAATGTCTGGGATGTGACGGTTTCACATTAAGCACAGGTTAGGATCTGTCCGTCTGTTAGAGTCTTACCTGGCTTAAATAGTAACATATGCCCAAAGCACACTCAATAGCGGCACAGTTTCTGGACCACGGAGCTCCAGGATATTATTTTCTAAATCCTATTGCTCTAGTCTCCCCAATCAGCTCATTTTACAAACAAGATGCTAGGTATCCATGAGGTATGCTGCATATTCAATATGGAATAGAAATATATATATAAGAGTAGTTTTTACAATAACTGAAATTAATGTCTAACAAATATTAACATTTTGTCTTATGGTTTTGGGTTAATTTGCTTTTTGTCATACAAACAACTCTAGTTAGATATAGCATTGTAATATTGTACCTGTTTTTGCATATATGTCTCTAATAAACTTTAACTCGCAAGTTGGAGTAAACTTGCAATTAATAACAACATTAATAACTAAAAATAATAACTTAAAATAATAAATTAAAAACGGAGTGTATAGTCAGAGTCCACACTCCTTGCTTTTGGCAATTTAATAATATTTATTAAGAGGCTAATCAAACAAATAAACAATACATATACATTTGAAATAGGCTAGTATATGTTGCTACCAAAACTAGTCATTGATTGAATTGAAAGTAGACTAAATTAACATAGTAAATCAGGCATAAACACGTGATACAGTTACCACTCCATTGATCACCATTACCAAAGAGAGGGTGTGTATAGTGGGGAGAGGGAATAGAGAGAGAGAGAGTGAGGAGGGTGAATTCAAAGAGAGGGAGAGAATGTGCTATTCACAGGGCTTTTAACAGGTTAGCCCTTCCTTCTTCTGGACACACCTCCCTCAGCAAATCCCTTAGGACAGGGGTGGGCAATCTGCGGCCCTCCAGATGGTTTGGACTACATCTCCCATAATGCTCTTAGGGCCATAATGCTAGCAAAGCATCAAGGGAGATGTAGTCAAAAACATCTGGAGGGCCGCAGATTGTCCACCCCTGCCTTAGGATGTAACAGAACCAGAGTGCCTACTGAGGGAAGGGGGATTGCACTGGAAGGGAATGGAGGAGGAGTTTATCAACAGCCGAACTGGTTTTGCCTGGTGAAAGGCCATGTGCTTCACAGAGGACTCCATTATTGGCTAAGGGTAGAATGGGGCTTGACTTCCTGTATTAGAACACAATAAAACTTCATTGGCATACAGTGTGGCTGTTAATCAGTCCCCCCACTTATTACAATGTCAGTTGGTTGCTTCCTGGTTCCACTATAGCTGATTAAGTTCCAGGCAAAGTTGTTGGTAGGTAGATGAGAAACTAGTGACAATGTTTAGTAGCTCACAGGAGCCTCTTCTTGCAAGCCTCTCACTCTGATGGTGCAAATATTTTATGTTCGCTCTGGCAGCAGACTCGAGGCAGGACTCTAGAACAGTAGGCTGTGGATCAACTAGTCTTCTGCTTTTCAAGTCCTGGCCAGAGTTCCTGATGCTGAAATGGCATGTGTTTGAAATATTGGGAAGCCCCTGTCTCCCTATCTTCTTGGGTGCTCTTTCACTGCTCTGGTGAAATATTTGTAACAGACCTACTAACTTAGCATTTCTTTGTAGTAAATCTTCGGTGGACCTATACACTTATTTTTGTGTACAGTCTTTTCTACTTTTGAGTGGAATGACTGACATGAATGTCATCTCATGATCCACGGGTCTGTTTGTCTCATTGTTTCTGCCTCCTTGACCTCCTGAATGATCTTTATTCTCTTTTGGAAGAAGAAGGGTTTGGTCTGTCCTGCAGATGTCTTTTGATGTCCTGTTTTCGTTACTTTTGCAGCAGTTGTGGGGCCTTCGTTGTCCTTATCCTTGGTATCATGACACTGCACGCCAATTAATGTAAGAGTGTCTGCAAGCAGATTTGCCTTGATTTTTAAATCAAGGGGTCCTTTAGAAACCAGAGACAGTTGAAGATTCACTTGCAAGAGCCAGGGCTTAAAGTTCTTATCAACACATCAACTTCTGTGAGCAAGAGATCCTTGAAATGCTGAGGCAATAGAGCCTTCCGCTGATATTATGGTTTTTAATAACGAGCTCTTCTATTTGTGACATGAGAGTGGCTGTGTCCTTTCCTCTTTCCTTTAAGTGATGCAGGATAGCTACCATGCTCCATATACTGCCATCATTTTCCACTTCTGGATTTGTGGAGTTCACATAGTTTGCACTTTCCTTGTTCACACTGGTGTATGTCAAATGCATAAATTGGTTTTTCATTGGTTTATACCGAATGGTAGGAAATCTTGTCAGGCCCTCTTCATACAGATCAGGGGTAGGGAACCTTTTAGTAGTACTGTGCCAAAATAAGATTTTGCAGATCCTCTTTTTTTAAATTGAGGTGTATAGGTTGCAGTCAGGGCCGGTTCAAGGATTTTTGCCACCCTAGGCAAAAGTAAAGTTTGCCGCCCCCCCCCCCATGTGACATCACAATGCCCCACCCATATGATCTGCCATGTTAACTAACGCCAGTGCCGCAGTGCTTACATTAAAAGGACTGCGGGGACGGGCTATAGACACATTAAGCTGCAGTGGTTCTGGTGACTATAGTGTTTCTTTAATATGAGGTAAATTATAGATTAGTACCACGAATAATATACTAGATTGCCTACTTACAACCAGATGAGGATGATGATGGGCTCTAGCTGCAGTCTGGCTCCACTGGTCTGGTGTAGAACAGGGTCTCTGGAGGCGATTTGTAACTGTGGTCAAAAAAAATCAATGTTCTGGGAGAAGGGGAAGCAGCTCCATTTTTTGGGGGCCCTTTACACAGCTTAAGATCTGAGTCCCAGGGTCCACCTTCATGTTCCACCAATGAGTTTGTTCACAGGGTGTGGAGTGTGTAGGGGATGTCCTGATATGTGTGTAAGGAATGCATTGTGTGAGTCTGTGTTTGTATGTGTAAGGGATGCAAGGTGTGTTTCTGTGTATGTACGGGATGCAGTTTGTGCATCTGTAAGGGATGCATTGTGTGTTTCTGTGTGTGTAAGGGATGCATTGTGTGTAAGGGTTGCATTGCTTGTGTGTCTGTAATGCATTGTGTGTAAGGGTTGCATTGCTTGTGTGTCTGTGTG